CGTGTGGCTACAGAGAAGCCAGGCACGCCCTCCGCGCTCAGGACGGCGCTTCCTCCCGGGGGTGCGCGAGCAAGCCTGTGCCAGGCGCCGCCGTCCCGAGCCCAGTAGGCGCAGGCCCCTCCCACTGCGCCCAGCCCCGGGCCCTCCCATTCCCTTCCTCCAGAGCCTCACGGACGCGTTTGGGCCTGCGGCCCCTTGGTCGGGCCCTGGAAAATGACATCAGGAAACGCCGCCAAGGGAAGCCGATCCCCCGGGGTGTGTCCTTTCCCAAGGCCGCCCAGAAGGCAAACCACAGAAGCGTAATTTCTGGTTCCACAGAACCACAAGGCAGCAGACGCTGAGGCTGTGAGGAGGGCTTCCGGTTCCCCAGGCACCTGCCCCCGGCCTCCTGGATTAGGCCCACACGGCATGGCATCCGGGGTATGCAGACGCGGACACCGGGTGCCGCGTCCATTTGATCTCACCAAAGTGAGGGTGAGCAGGATTTTAGGTGGGCGACAGAGAGGCCATGGGGATCCCTGTGTGGACCAGCACACCACGAGGGCAGACTCGCCTGACCTTAGAGGTTCTGCTGAGGCTCCAGGTCAGGGCCAGGTGCCCCGGGGTTCTAGAAGCTGCCTAAGAGATGCCTGCAGAAAAGTGCCGACACCCTGTAGTGCCTCCCGTGTGTCCCTCCAGCCACCTGGGTCCACGGACCCGCTCCCCCACCTTTAAGAGGCAACTCTCGCAACTCTGCGACCTCTTCAAGCCACCAGTGCCCGGCTCTGGCCTTTGTGACTGAGCTGGAGCACAGAGCGGCCTCTCCCCAGTACCCGACTCCTGCTCTGCACCAGCGCTCCTGAGCCAACTCCCATGCACTGACCCCCAACGTTAGAGCTGACCGCAACGCCTCCCCCGCCATCTCGGCCTCTCTTCCCATCACCGCCCAGCTTCACAGCACCTCCACCTTTGGAGGCTTGGCGCTCTCAGCAGCTGTTCTGGCTCCCAGTCCCGCTCAAGCCCAGGCCCGCCCCAGCCATCTGCAGTGGGAGTTTCCTGTGCTTTACAGCACCCCAAGGGTTGGGAGCTCTGAGGAACCCAGTGACCGGCCCAGCTCTGATGACTGCAGGTACCTGGGCCCACATCTCCCAGGTGGAGGCCCGGCCTGCAGGAGCCGGGACGCTGTGCTCACCGAGGAGAGGCCCTATCAGGACGGAATGAGCAAGGGCACGCACGTTCAGGCAAGGTTCACGTGAAACTGGGCTTCTGGCCCCAAGTGGGAAATGACGCCTGGTCTCTCTCTGCGTGTAGCAACCGTGAGTGGCTAGAAACAAGCCTAATGCGCGGTGCATGTCTGCAGCACGCCCACTTCCTGAGCCACAGGGTGAGCCGCACACATCAGCCGACAGCGCAGCAGATGGAGAGCAGCTGACAGAGGCACAGAAGTCTCTGGAATGTCTACCACTTTTCGGAAAACACAGCACTCCAGCCTTCTCTAGCTTAGCGCTTCATCTTCTGAAACGGTGCCACAGGTAAAGAATGTTCTACTCCTTACAACTCTCTCCTCCATTTCCAATCACACAGGTCTCCTGGTTCACCGTGTGCCCGCGGGAAACTTCATTCTCTCATTTACTCTTGTGTGTCTCACAATTGCTCATTCTCCCACACGCACTGAGACATCTTGCTAACAGGAAGCCAGTGTGAGGGAATGGCATCTACCACCTAGAACAGCCCTGCCTGGACCTTGATACACGGTCATCTGGCAGGTTTCAGTGCCCTGAAATGACTCGAAGCTGACCATGCCGCGCAGCGTAGCGATTCTGGATCTTTGAGGTCAGAGAATGTTTAGACGTGCTTACAACGTACAACGGCCTCAAGACACCTGGTCAAAATGGGAGCAGTTGTGGAAAGAGCCTTGCTCACGGCTGACTTCCAAAATCCTGTTCCAGTCTCCCCTCTCTAAGCACCCAGGACCTGCGTGTCATGTGGAGGCAAGAGCAGCTTACCTGGAGGTGGGTGGGCCGGAGGCAATGGTGGGTGAGTGGTCTCAATTTTGGGGATTTTAGGCGGTGGTGGTTCTAAAAAGAAAAAGTGGATTAAAAAACCGCTCACACCTCTTCATGTGAATAAGCATGTCGTCAAGAAACATAAAAAAGAAAGCATACTGGCGGAGATTTCTTTGGGAGAAAAAGAACAGATATGACCAAGGCTTTAAAGGACTTGAGAAAGTTCCACTAATCCTATGATGATAACAAATACCGTCCCCTCCAAGACAGCACCTCACAGGTGGCCGCTCACAGGCTGCCGTTTTCCACATCCCTCCCGAAGCTGCCCCAGGGGCCACTTCGCCAAGTCCAAGCCCTTTCAGCAATGTGAGGACAGCAAAGCAACGTCCCTGTTATCAAAATGATCCATCTGGAGCCCTTACTGGCACAGGGGACTCGCAGAAAGGCCTGAGCAGCACTGTCACATCACCCGGTGCGCACAAGATGATCTCCCCCTGCTTGTTCTCAATGTACTGAGCTACTCTCTCACAGACACTGCTGCCCTGTGGGCCGCGTGTGGGAAGCAGCATGTCAGCAGCATCCTGGAGGCTGGCGTGCCGGCGGGAGGAAGATGGTGTTGCACACGAAGTACAGGTGGGACCCATCGGATGGTGGGACAGTTCACCCTTCAGGGTCAGGCAGTGAAATGTAACCAGCATCCACAAAGACAGCGCCAGGCCTCCTAGCCCAGTCACAGGAAGTCCAATGTCCCCTGCGTAAGAAGGCAGAGTGTGTGCACGGACAATCGGAGAACGCCGTCCTTCCGTCTACTCTCAGGTGGAGGCGCTTTCTTCCTGACACGCACCTGGTCCTGTTGTGCCGCCACTTGGGTCTGCATCTTCTTCGGCACCAGCGACACTTTCTCTTGCTTTCCTGCATCTTAATCACAGGCTGAGTTCAAGGTCCCGGGGCCTCCTCTCTCTTTTCGCTCTTCCGCAGACACCAGCGCCCCCAAGTTGACAACTATAAACGTGCATTCCAGCCTCCGTCCCTCGACCCTCCCCCAGCACCGCACACTCCGCCTTCTCCCTGTCTCCTGTGACTGGCATGGCTCTCAGGCGCCTCCTCTCCCTCCCTCCCCACAGCCACCAGCTGAGCTGTCTAGCCCAGGGCCGCCCCACGGCAACGCCAGGAGAGCCCCGAGTGTGCAATTCTACACTTTCCAGGAGCCATGTGAAAAGTAAAGAGTTGAAACGAATAGTATTGTATTTAACCTGATAGATCAAAAGTTTTACTTCCACAGGCCACTGATATACAACTTTATTAATGAGACATTTATATTCTCTTTTCTTACAAACTTAAACATCTGGTGTGGACTGTGTCTCGCGCTTTGGCACGTGGCAACTGGAGTGGCCAATCTCGGGTGCCTGCCGCCCTCTGAGGCTGGGGGACCCCACTTTTCTGACCTCACGGCTAGCACACAGCTGACTCCCATGTCTCACTTTGGGGCCTGGACACGTCTCACCATTCCCAAGCATCTGTCCTATTTACAGCTGCCAGGGGATGTGTTCTCAAGTGAATTTGGACGCTGCCATTCCCCTGCTAGGTCTCTGATGGCTTCTCCTGGCTCTGCAAAATCCACACTCCCCCAGGCAGTCTCTATGATCTAGCTCTAACCTACATTTTCAGTCTATCGAAAGCTTTCGACTCTTCCACATTCCGGGAGGCCTCCTCTCTGCGTCCCCCAACTCTCGATTCCCCGGCTTCCTTGTGTCCTGAGTCTTCGGCCCCTCCGCTCCAGCTGCTCCGAGGCAACCCTCCTTCAAGGTCACACGTGGCTTGTTTCCTGCCTCTCCCACAAACCTGCACTCAGCTCGTCTCAACTGCACACGGCACGTGGCATGGGGCGTAGCCCACTTTTGTGTCTCACATTTAATGCCTGTCAATTTGGAACTAAAAAAAATTCACCTGTACTGAACTCATCATTCCCCTAAAGATACTGGAAATAAAAAAAGAAAAAGAAGTAGCTTTAGCATAACTTGGAACTAAGAACTAAACAAAGAACCAGAAATAAGTAAACACGGTTCAAAGAGTTCAGTACGCCAGGTGGACTGACAGAGACAAAACATTCCCAATTTCCTGTTCTCTGATCATTCCGGTTTTGCTCACTCCTTCCCTTTATTTCCAATATAGACACAATTGAACTAACTTTGGGCTCCAGAAATGTGAGCCCCCAGTGTGTGTATAAAAGAGGCCTGGCCTGCATAAACCCACCCCACTTCCCCTTCTCGCTGCTGGGGGACTCCCGAGACCCTGAGTTCTTGCTGCTCTTGATGGGTACGACTCATCTCTAAGAGAAACACTGTTGCAACTGTTCTCCTACATCCATAAATATACTTTTATATATGGTTCTGAGTACATTTTTACCGCCAATAACAGTTTTCTGTATTGACACCCTTCGCAGAGCACAGTCTAAGACACAGTAAGATGAAGGAGAAGATGATGCACTCTGCTGGCAGACAGGGGGAGTTTCTGATGGAATCTTAGGTGAAATTCTAAGGCCAACCTACATCTGAAAGGCAACAACGTTGGCTAAGAATTAAAGATATTTAAGGTTTTGCATGGAGACACAGACAACTGAAAAATAAAACATCAGAACAGGAAATTACCTGTTGCTTTGTTCTCTTCTTTGGGAGAAACAACCTGTTACGAAAGAAGACAAACAACTGGGTATGGTGAGGAAAAAGTGGATTCCACAGAGTCACTGGCAGAAGATCTTGGACGAAACGTGCAGGGAGCCACGCCCCAGCCAGCTCCTCACCGCCCCCCTCCCTTCCCGGATCAGACCAGGCAGCAGGATTTGCTTTCTCAACAGTGAGCTCCGAGTAACACTCTGTGCCAGGCCTCCACTGCAGCTCCCTACGTTTGATCCCCAGCGTCTGCTGACGTGCATGTTTGCCCCAGTGGTGTCCTTTGGGCACCGTGTTACAAAAAACGGCCTCCTCCACTGGCCAGGCAGCCACCGTGGGGAGAACAGATCTGTGCTCCTCCTCCCAGAAACTTTTACAAATGCCCTGTGTTGCCTAAGACCTGAACACCAACGGAGAGAAGTGAAGAGACGACTCTCCCAGCTGTCAGTGCTCAGGGGTTTGGGACCCTGAGGGGGAAGCAAGCAGTCCACCCTTCATGGCCAGCTGGCTACAGGTGCGCAACACTCAATGCAATGCCAGGGCGTGAAACTACACCCCGACAGGTTTCAGATCCCTGGCGGAGGTGACCCAGCAGTGGAGGCTGGAGCACAAGGACAGACCCTCCTGGCTCTCAGAAAACACCTCTCTTGGAGCACATCGGCCCAGTCAGACCTGAGTCTGGGCAAGTCGCCCCTGCTTCGGTGCGGTCCCTCAGAAACGGGGAAGGCGCTCACGCGTGGTGCTGCCACCAGAGGGCCCACTGTGCCCGGGGCCGTCATGGCCCACTCACCACGGCTCGCTTCACCTGCCGGGGAGGACTGGGCTGTGGCGACGGCTTCTTGGGTGGTGGCGCCTGCGGCTGCTGCGGGGCTGACGGCTGGGAGTCCTTCTGCTGGGGCTGGGGTGGTTCGGAGCCTGGCGACGGCTGTGGCTGTTGGACTTGTGGCACTTGCGGCGCAGGCTGAAGGGATGGAGGCTGCTGCAGCTGATGAGGGGTGTGATGAGGCATCTGTTGTTTTCCTTGGGAGTAAAGATCCAGGATTTGGTGGCAGATGTCTAGACGACAGGCAACAATGGACTTACCATAAGCTGAGGTTTTCAATGAAATTCTACCCCCAGAAACAGTCAGTTCTGATTCCCCTACCAGGACCAAGAAGCAGGAGTCACAGGTGCAACTCATGCCATCTTGTGTGTGTGTTTTTAGTTCACCAAAACTACGTGCTTGGACGAAGTGAAAGCCATGTCACATCATTTAAATAACGGTGCTTCTGAAAGATTGCTTACACAATGCCTATATGGGAAAATCCATGCTTGGGACTCAAGAGTTCACAGGGAAGAATAATGTAAACACTCTCACAAGAAAGCTCAGCACGCCTGGTACCTTCTAAAACGTCAACTGGGACATCTTGAACAAACTGCTCCCACCATCTCCTGTACATGGGCTTGGAGGTCCATTCTTGTATTTCAAATTTGCACAAACGTCCTGCGAGATACATCACTGCTACTGCTATGATCTCTGGCTCCCACTGCAGTGACAAGGTGGTGCAGAGACTAGTTCAACAAGAAAAAAAAGATGACTTAAAAATTGTATGATCCAACATTTGTGATTAAACCGATACATGGAGATGAGGTACCACATCTAACTGTTAATTTGCTCACTCTCTCCTACACTTGATTAAAAGAGAAACAGACATTTAAAAAAGTAAATCTTTAGTCTTCTGAAGGTACCCACATAAATGACTTTAACCACAGTTAATAAAGTATCTGTTCCTTAAAGATTGAGATTTCTCATACATTCAGAATTTGATACTTCATGAAGCATAAATCAAAATGGTTTATGTTCTTTAAACTGCTGGGATCCTAGCCACAGAACTGTTTCTTCAGATGAAATTTCCTGGGAGGTCAAACATGAGATGCTTCCCTGCCTGCTGGAGGCAGGGCCAACAGCACCACACTCATAGGCTTCTGTCCTCACTGTGATGCCTTATGGATTCCTGACTGCTGAGAGCAGCAAGGCTCTAAAGCACTGTGCTAAGGATGTTTCTGCAGAACGAAAAGGGCTCTAAGTATCCTGTCAAAGCCTCTTCTAGTGTCTCATGTTGGACTCGGTCTCTGCCTGTTTTGAAACGCTCTAATTAAATCAACATTTGAACATGTGTACCTGTCATTTACAAATGTCCATGCCATTTGAACCAACTTCTGAATTTTGTTTTTATCACCTAGAAATGGGGGAAAAAAGTAAACAGTAATAGAGAAAAAAATTCACAAGAAGCAACAAGTACCTACTAAAGCCTACTGGGTACTCAGTATCACTCCAACGCATGGAAGAGCCCTTGCCTGGGACATGAGGACAAATGACATGGGTCCACGTCCCACCTCTGTTCTTTTTCCACATGACCTATGCTGAGTCACTATTTATGGGAAACCTGGCTCCAAGGTGGATTTTATTAGTCTATTTTAGACATTCTGACTCATCTTCCTGCCTCTCGTATCACTTGGAAGTGGATGACAGAACCTGTTCATGCATGAAAGGAAGCAGCATTAACGGCTACAAGACAGAACTGTCTGAGCAAGCTATGTCCTGGGGACTTGACACATCAACCTTTCTGATTTTCTCTTCTGAAAAGCATCATCTGAGTGTCATCAAATTATAAGGGCTGGATTTCATAATAAAGAAGTTCTGTTTAAAAGCCGTTTCTTACCTTTGAGTTGTTTAGCATATTTGAGTAGGAACTGGTAGGGATGTTCCACCTGGAGGTCGAACTTGATGGTCTGCAGCAAGATTCTCTCCAGAACCATGACTTCCTCCTAGAAAACAAGCAAAAAAAACCATGGGGATAGCAATTACAACCATGGGTCTCAAACTCCTTTATAAAAGTGAGCTTTCCTGCTTATTATCTCTTCATGTTATATTTCCATTTCCTTTCTCTTCTTTCCCACTCAGGCTTTTAACATGAGAGACTCTGAAAAGATCTCAAAGGAGGAAGACAAAACAATCAGAGCTAACAAAAAAATACTGAGCTAGGCATGGTGGCTCACACCTGTAATCCCAGCACTTTGGGAGGCGAGAGGATTGCCTGAGTCCAGGGGCTTGAGACCAGCCTGGTCAACTTGGCAAAACCTCGTCTCTTCAATGAATAAAAAAAATTAGCCAGGTGTAGTGACACAAGCCCATAGTTCCAGCTACTTAGAAGGCTGAAATGGAAAGATCACCTGAGCCCAGCAGGTTGAGGCTGGTAACCATGGGTGTGCCACTGCACTTCAGCCTGGGTGACAGAGTGAGACTCTGACTCCAAAAAAAACCCCAAACCAAAACACACACACGCAAAAAACCTGGCAACAAAACGATCCTTAGAAATGTTAGCACTTTCAATACATACATGAGTCTCCCTTTACAAAACAGACTATTTAACAGATTATTTAATTGATTACTTAATTGAATTGTAGTTTCTTTCAAGACTCACATTTAAAAAAATGCAATCCCTCAGGAATGTTCCTTGAAAACCTTAAGCAAGGAAGAGATTATATAGCCAGCTTCAACATAGTGAGCTGTACCAGTGTGTGTTTGTGGGTGTATGCATGTGTATACACAAGGGGGGACCAAAAAATTATATTTTTTTTGGAGGGCAGGCCCCTTGTAGTACAGGTTTCTCCTGATAGGTAAGTGTTCTAGGAACCCATCAGCATCCACGTACCAGCTATTAATAGTATTGCTGTGAGAGCCTTCGTTCAGCTTCAGTGAATTGTCTTTTTTTTTAGATTCTTTCAACATGCTTGCCCCTTTCATGATGGGTGATTTATGAGCACATCTGCCCACACTGTGCTGAGTTTTCAGCAGTTTTTTGACCACAACCAGCATGAACCCCATGACCCACCCCTTCCTATTCACCCAATATTGCCCCAAGTGACTTTTGTTTTATTTCCCTGGATTAAAAAAAAGTCCACAAAAGGAAACTTTTTGCTGAGGTGGAAGAAGTGAAAAAACAGCAGAAGCACTAAAACACATCAAGACGGATGAGTTCAAAAACCGTCTTAAGCGGCGGAAAAAGTGTCTTGGTAGGTGTAGTGCATCCAATGGAGAGGACTTTGAAGGCGACTAAAGCTTAAACAAGAAAGAATACACTTTTCTTAAATAAGTTATGTTTTTTTTTCGGGGGTTTCCCCCTGTATACACATGCACACATATTGTATGTATGTGAATAGGGGAAAATAAATTTTGTGCTTAAATCTTTCATTCATTTGAAATAAACTGTCCCAACATCAGTTACTAAGTTATCATTTTCTATTTTATGTAATGTGTTACTTAAATCACATCCTAGATGAGGCACGCATGCATACACACACAAAACCCTTTCTGCTCATTGACTGATCTGTCTACTCTCCTAGGGCCAAAGGGGTTTGGAAGAAATACAGTAGCTCCACTATCGCTCCCCCCTCCCACAAGTTTCTTGTTTTGCATGTCTCCCTCACCCAAATTTTAGTACCATTTTATTTAGTAGCCGTCTACAAAAACATCAAAGCTAATGACATATCCATTGGGAATGCACTGAATTTACAGAATAACTAGGGAAAATGAAGATTCTAACAATACAGAATCTCCCTATCAAAAATGTATTTATTAAAGTATTTTCAGTTCTTTAGTTTTAAAGCCCTCCCACCCTACCCCACAAGATTTGTCCTTGATGTTTTGTTTTACTCTTGCTACTGTAGATGGAATGTCCTCTTTTATTATATGCTCTAATTAGTTAATGTTCCCAAATAGGTACTTGATTCAACCCTCTGTACAGCCTGATTGTACCCAGCACTACAAGACAACGTAAGACACAACCGAGACACTCTGTGCAGGAAGAACAATTAGAGAGAGAACTACTTGTTTGGCATCAAAGACTTTGCAGAGGACTGAAAATTCCATCAACAGTTGCATAAACCCATTAATTCCAGGAAGAGCAGACACATGAGTAACTGGCTTTCATTTAGAAGTATAGCATGGCATTATTTCACAGGATTCGGAGATGATTCTACAATAATTTATGATTCCAAATAACATGGCAAGACAAACGTCGTTCAACCCTAGTTTCCCAAGCATTTTCTCATGAAAGCTTTTAAGCGTTTTAAAATCTTAGAAATGTTCACAGTATAAAAAACGTCTGCCTTTTTTTGCCTGTTACTGTCACTGTCACCACTAGTTTCCCAGAAGTTTCAACATTTCCTCTAAATTTAGAAACAACTCTTTTCACCAAGTGTGCCAATCGGCTTTCAGGCTGTAGTTCATGGAGTGTTACAGGATAATCCAAGGCCTGCCCTCCCTCTGCCTTTCAAATATTCAATTAATGGGGGTAATTACAGGTCTTCTGTAAACATTACGCCTCAGGGAAGCTTTCCCGCAGCCCGGTCCTTACGTGGGGGACTTGTCTGGGTGTCTCGGTGGAATGGTCATAGCACCTGTAACTGATCTTTTATAGCACTTACCACACTCACAACAAAATAGTTATTGATGTAATTATCTGATTAAAATTCCTTCTGTCACTCAACTATAAAATCCATGAGAGCAAAGACCAAAGTATTTACACTGTCTCCCCAAGAAACTGTCCTCCTCTGAGCCAAGGAAAACACCTTCCACAATGTCTTCATCACTGTGCCCAGATCCAGGGTGTCGCCCTTTGGCCCCTACTCCCTAAATCCTGTCTGGGGAGACTGCACATGACTGGGAGGAAGCAGGTGGGCTGCAGAGCCCCGGCCCCCAGATCTCATGGCACGGCAATCTCCCTTGTCCTATTTCCTGGGGCCCCAGAGCTGCAGGAATTTCTCCTTCACTGTGCCTTGCCGTGGTCTTTCTTCCTGATTTGATGATACAGGGGTGGAGGCTGAAAGAGAAGTGGGACTTCTCTAAGGCACTCTGAACTAGCACAAGCCCTGGCCCTGCTGTGGTCCCAGGTCTGTGCAATGCTTTATTCTTATTCTTTTTTTTTTTTGAGTTGGAGTCTCACTCTGTCACCCAGACTGGAGTGCAGTGGCCGCTCCCAGCCACCGCAGCCTTGACCTGCTGGGCTCCGGCGATCCTTCCGCCTCAGCCTTCCAAGTAGCTGGAACCACAGGCACGTGCTACCACGCCCAGTTAATTTTTTTGATTTATTGTAGAGATGAGGTCTTGCCAAGTTGCCCAGGAGGGTCTCGAACCCGCAAGCTCAGGTAATCCACTCACCTTGGCCTCCCAAAGCACTGGGATTACTGGCTGAGCCACCGAGCCCAGCCCGCGATGCCTTATTCTTAACCACAGCTCACCAGCAAAATGGGGCATACAGCTCATCTGCTCCTATGACCAAGACCTGACTGAAGCATAGCATGTCCCTATAATTGAACTAGTCACATCAGGACACAGAGTTTCACGACTCAGAAAAAGTCAAATACCCACGCGTATCAAAAACATCATTTGATGGCAAATCATTTTTATAAAATTGCACTTTTGATGACTGTAATTAGAGTTCTAACAGGTTCAAATTTTTACACATAGGTTAATGAATTTATAATTAAGTTCAAGAGAAAAAGTTAGCTACAATGACAACACATCTTACAAAGTAGTAGTGTTAATCACAACCACAATGTGCACAAATTGTCCTGGGCCCCTGTTAACTCCTCAAAGCAATGAAGAAAACGACCATATGTTGTATATACACATATATAAACAGTGCTTGGCAAGAGAAGGATAACTACTGTGAGATGATACCAGCTAATGAGAAAAACAAAACCATGGAGGCTGAGCTTCATCACCTTCACTGTGCTCTACTACAGGTTTGAGCTCTCCCCATAACATGTATTTGCCGTTATTCCCAAGCACCTACTGATGCCTACTCTATCCTGCCACTGTACTAGGCACTAGACGAAAAAGTCATAGTCTTTGCTCTCATGATCTTACAGCTGAGAAGTGGAGAGAGTTATGTGAATGACCATTTGATAAAAATCTGCTAATGAAAACTTACATGTGCAGGACTGGCGAAAGAAGCCAGTCTGCAAAGGCTATATACTATATGACTCCAACTCTATGACATTCTGGAAAAGGCAAAACTGGAGACAGAAAGGATCAGTGGTTGCTGGGGTTGGGAAAGAGAGGGGTGAACAGGCAGAGCACAGAGGATGTTAAGGGTGGTGAAAATACACTACATGGTACCACAATGGTGGATACATGTCTACCTATACATTTGTCCAAACCTATAAAATGTACGACAGCAAGAATGAGCCCTAAAAGTGAAGACTAGACTCTGGGGGACCAATGATACATCAATGGAGGTTGCATCAACTATAATAAATGCCCTGCCCTTGGAGGGGTAGGGGGTATTGGTAATAGCGGAGGCTATGCATGTGTGGGGGACAGGGAGTACAAGGGAAATCTCTATTTCTTCCAATCATTTTTTCTACAAACCTAAAAGTGCTCTGAAAAATAAGGACTTTAAAAAGTCTAATGCCAGGCACGGTGGCTCAAGCCTGTAATCCCAGCACTTTGGGAGGCAGAGGTGAGAGGACTGCCTGAGTCCAGGGGAACTGAGGCCAGCCTGAGGAACTTGGTGAGACTTCATCTTTACAATAAATCAAAAAAATCAGCCAGGCATAGTGGCACGTGCCTGTGGTTCTAGCTAACTGGAATGCTGAGGCAGAAGGATCGCCTGAGCCCAGCAGGTTGAGGCTGTGGTGGCCATGAACACGCTACTGCACTCACAGGATTTGGACATGATTCTATAATAATTTATTATTCCAAATAACATGGCAAGACAAATGTGAGACTCTGACTCAAAAAAAAAATCTAATTACGAGCTTTGATGAGTGCTATCAAGGATAATGAACAGGTATTACAAGGTTTACAATGGGGAACCATGATGAGAGTGGGGGTGAAGGAAAACTCCACCGGTCCCTGAAAGTGGTATGGTTAGCACACATTGAAAGCGTGTGTATAACTACAGAGCATTTGCTGGCACTGTCAGGGCTGGTGGGGAAGGGACAGGACAGGTGGTCTGAGTATCAAACTCTGGGTGCATGAAAATGCTACGACTGTCAATACCCTCTGATGGTCTTAGGAGCAAAAGACACACGGAGGCATATATGCAAGTACGCAGAGCATATGTACTTCTCTGTGACCCAGAAGCCAGCTAGAGACATGACCCAGTTGTCACTGCTGAACCTCAGAAGTGGCATGCTGACAGCAACAAGAGGGTTTTGCTCATATCCATGAAATGTGCTATTGCCCATGAAGTGTGAGACATGCAGGGCCCATGAAGAAGCACTGTTAAGCGTAGGCTACACGATCTCCTTCCTCCTGCTTACAGAAGCATGGAGTGCCACCTACTCAAAGCCCTCTTAGGAACACAAGGGACTAGCAGACACAGGCCACAGCTACTATCAACATATGGAATCATATCAGAAACCATGAGGAACCAGGACTTGAAGTTACAGTTCTTACCTTTGGGTCATCTCCAAACTGGCCAAATTGTACATCATTTAATAAACTACGGGCTGTCTTGATGATATCTTTACATTTTTTTGGTGTTTCTTCTACTTTCCCAGCCAGAAATAGACAACACGCTCCTGTCACCTAAAAGGGAGACAGAAGTTCTTGATTTTTGTTATAAAGATCACACAGAATCAGACACAAGGAATTCTGGCCTTCACAATGAACCTGTCTCCCCTGTTCCCCTACCTTCTTTCTCATTCGCAAACACTCAGAAACTCTAACAGCTTGAAGGAAATTTTATATACACAACCCCTCCAAGTCTGGCTTCATAAATTAATTTAATTTTTAATTTTCTTAAGAAAATGTCATGTAAACCAAAAAAATGCCCAAAAGGGAAAAAGTCACAGAAAAGAATTTCTTCTTATATTCCAGTCTGAATGAGAACTCCCTGAACAATATGCTTTGCTATAGAAAAAGCAGCACAGCTAAACCCAGGTCTGTGGAATCCTCAAACCAATCCTCAAACCACTGCCCACACTGCTTTCCTCTCTGCTACGGTCTAAATGTTTGTGTCCTAATTCATATGTTGAGACCTAATTCCCAATGTGGTGCATTAAGAGGTGGGGCCTTTGCGAGGTGATCCCCTCACAGATGGGAGCAGAGCCCTTAGACACGAGGCCCAAGGGAGTGTGTTCTTCCCTTTGGCCATGTGAGGACGCAGCAAGAGGCGCCCCTCTAGGAGGAGTGGCTCCTCCCTAGAGCAGGGATCGATCTGCCAGTGCCTCAGTATCGGACCTCCCAGCCTCCAGAACCGCGAAGAACAAGTCTAAGGTGTTCCGTTGTAGCAGCCAGAACAGACTAAGACACGGTTCTCCAGCTCCCCAGTTCCTCAAGCCCAGCTGAGTCCCTCCAGTAGTGAGGTCCAAACTGCTCTGTCTTCAGCTTCCTCTGCCCACTCCAGTGGGCACTCTCCTCACATGATCCTGATCACCCTGGATGCCAGACACTCTGCCAGGGGCACAAAACTGATACTGACATGGCCTTCTTCTTCAAGAACTTCATAAATTATTGCAGACATGTTCACATCTAAGTAGGCTCTTAGCAAAAAAGCTCCAAACAAAAACCAAAACAGATAGAACCATCTTCCTGTTAAGTTCAATTCTGTCATCATCTTCATGAAGTCTCTTTCACTGTTCACACCCACTAAAGTCAAATTTCCATAGTCTGGCATTCAAGGCTCACCATGGCCTGACTCGGTTTACCTTTCCACCCAAGGTTTCATCATTCCTCTCCTGACAAATGAAGCTCCCGGTTGAGCTGACAACGAGCTGCATGCGTTCCCCTGCCTCTGCTCACGCTGCCGTCGTTGGACCACCGACCTAGCCCATCTCAACGTGTCCACACCCTACATACATTCAAGGCTTAATTTCCTGTTGGGACCTTCTCTCCAGCACTTTCCCTGCTCCCTACAAGATGCAATTTATCTCCTGTTGAGTGCCACAGCTCTATCTATACCTCCCTGGAGGCCTCACTTCCCGCACATGTCCTACACATCACATAACCTGTCCTAGACTGAAGCTACTTGAAGCAGGTTCCCTGTGCAGATCTCCCTAGAGAATAAGACACAGCGCAGGTTCAAGGTACAGCTGAAGAACGGGAGATAAGGTAGAGAGAATTTCTGTTCCATTTTGCTTTCTGGGTTTTTGTTTGGTCTCAATTATAAACTGAAATTTATCTTGGGAAAAATAACAAGGAAGTAAGCTTTCATACAAAGGCCAATATGACTGTGGTCCATACTGGCCTAAATGAAAAAAGATTTGAACATGGTTAATTGGAATAAACAAAGTTCAAGCTTGATTTTGCATACATAGCATATGCGACACATAACAATAAATACTTGCTGGAAAATAAGGTAAAAAGAGAGACTATAATTAGTCCATCAGATTATGCAAAAATAATAAGTGACAGAGAATTACAATGAAATTCAAACACTTACATATCTTGGGAATTGCTTGAAGGAATGAAACATATAAAAGCGATGAAAATAAATTATTCCAGTTGCCAGGGTATCATAGTGTCTGTTGTTCTAGTTAAGGATTGTAGCCAAAAACTCTTACAGGTTATATTCTTAGTTAAATGCAGAAAACAATAAACACAAACAACAACAACAAAATCAGTGGTAAACCATCAGTGGCAAAGCAGAGATGGGAATCTTAGGGTGTCAGAATTCTGGCACAAGAATCAGCAAGTTCAAGTTTTACGCTTTTAACAAGTCTTTGGAAACACTTTAACTTTGATTTTAGGGGGTGCCTATTTTCCCCTGAGTGGCTACTTGCTCAATTGCTAAGTCTACAATCCCCCACCCCAAGAGCCAGGGTAATCAGAAACAATGTTTAAACAAATATATATATATATATATATTTTTTTTTTTTTTTTTTTGAGTTGGAGTCTCACTCTGTCGCCCAGACTGGGCTCCGGCAATCCTTCCGCCTCGGCCTTCCAAGTAGCTGGAACTATAGGCGTGCGCTACCACGCGCAGCTAATTTTTTGATCTATTGTAGAGATGAGGTCTCGCCAAGTTGCCCAGGCGGGTCTCGAACCCACGGGCTTAGGCAATCCACTCATCTCAACCTCCCAAAGCGTGGGATTACAGACTGAGCCACCAAACCCAGCTAAACAAAGATATTTAAGACTTGATCCGGTACAGAGAAATTACCATAGATTTTGTTTACAGAATCTAATTTAATTCTTGGTGGTGGTGGTGGAGTCTATCTATAAGATTCCAAGGAGTCAGGATACAGCCCCAAACGTGTGCCCACATCGAAGATGAACCGAGCCCCTTCTCGGCGGTACCGGGCCTCGGTGGCTGGATCAAGCCCTTCGAGTTGTGAGGGTGTATGAGCCAAGTCTTTCTTATCCCAGTACCAACATGGTTTTGTGTGGTCCAGGTTTGCAGAAGTTACTGAGGGGCTTGAATTTTCTTTATTCTCCTTCATTTATTGAAGTCGACTTGTTCTTTCCAAAAGGCTCTCTGAAAATGTTAGGATCCTAAGAGAAAGAGAAAAAGAAGAAACAATGGAAATGGATACCCCACACTGTAAGCAATCCTAATCATTCTAAGCAATCCACAACCACAGATTGTACCTGATTTTGGATCAAAATTTCCTGCAGAAACTACACCATTGATTGCCAGTTAGAAGCCCAGGCTAACCTCCAAAGCCAATTTAACACATACCGCAAGGTCTCATATTTCATGATAATTTAAAAGGAAGAGTATTTCTTCCCCTTCTCTTGAGTCTAAAGGGTAAAACCTATTTGACACAATTTTGGAAGGAACTAAAGCACATCTCACTTTCCCTCTAGCCTTTCTTCCCTGGTTCAGTTCTCCAACGCTGGTCTGGATTCCACTCTTCAGTAAAAACCCTGGGCCTGCTCAGTCCTCTACAAAGATTTATGCTCCAAAATTGCCCATCTCTTCCATCCAGCACACAATCAGATTTCCCCCTTTTTAGTTTATTTGCTTTCCTCTTAGACACTTTTACTTAGAAAAGCCAAGGCCCTGGGTTAATCCACATCACACAAGTCACTGAACTGAGTGATATGGACCAAGGGTGGGAGGCGGCGCCTGGGAGTGGGCAGGAGGTGCCTTGTGGGCGACGGAGCTCCTCTCCACTGCTCTTGCTTCCTCATCCTCCTCTCTCTCTCTCGTTTAGGATAAAGAGATTCTCCAAAAGCTCCATGTTGAGAGAAGAAAAGAAAACAAAAATAAGGATCCCATCTTGAGGCTACTGTAGTACGTAAGTTGTGTGTAAACGAGATCAGAGACAACAGAAATTTTCAAACAGGGCAGCAAAAAGGCTCCAATAGAGCTGGCGGCGGCCAGGTTAGTCTGGCTGGTGAGAAAACGGCAGTTTTGAGGTCGGTTCTGGGCATGTCCCCAGCTCATCTGGAAACCTAGCCTGATCTGTGTACCCGCCTTGGTTTCTGGTGGGGAAGGTGACAGGGCAGGGCTGAGGACTCTCCACCCTCTTGCACCTGGCAGCTCTAAAGGAATTCTCCAAGAGGAAGAATTAAGTACCCAAGAAAGCAATCTGCTTGAACGAATAATTTACGTTTTTTGTGTGAATGATTAAACTGGGCAATGCTGGTGGGGAGGGAGGAGAGACCAGTTAATTAAAGCCTCAGAAAATATGACTGGCTCATATACAGGTATCAAACTGAGATATATTTCTCACCTATCGGATTGGCAAAAATCCAAACGTTTGACAATTTACTCTGCTGGCAAGAAGAAGGAGATCTCATATATTGCTGGTGAGAGCACAAAATGGTACAACTGCCACAGAGGGCAAGTTGGCAACATCTGACAAAATTCCACATGCATTTGCTCTCTGACCTAGCAATCCCACTGCTAGCAACCCATTCTGAGAATACCGTCACAACCGGGAAACAACACAGGCACATGATTATTCACTGCAGTATTATTTATAATGGCAACCCAAATGTCTATCAACAGGGGACTGGTTGAATAAAATATGGTACATGAGCACAACGGCATAACCTGCAGCAATATATGAAAAAGAATGAGAAAGATCCTTAGGTATTGGATGGAGACACTTCCAGGACCAGGGCAAAGTCTAGTGTACACTGTAGGTTAGCATCTCTGTAAGAAAAGAAGGGGAAGAATAGACATTCCTACTTTTAACAATGAACTTAAAGCTGAGTGCGGTGGCTCACACCTGTAATCCCAGCACTTTGGGGGACTGAGGTAGAAAATTGCTTGAGACTAGAAATTTGAGACCAGCCAACATTTTCTCTACAAAAAAATGCAAAAATTAGCCAGGTATGGTAGCATATGTCTGTAGTCCCAGCTACTCGGGAGGCAGAGGCAGGAAGACCACTTGAGTGAAGGAGGTCGAGGCTGCAATAAGCCAGGATTGTGCCACTGCACTCCAGCCTGGGTGACAGAGACCCTGTCTTAAAAAAACGTAATCCTGCACCTTGGGAGGCTGAGGTAAGTGGATTGCCTGAGCCCGTGGGTTCGAGACCCACCTGGGCAACTTGGCGAGACTTCATCTCTACAATAAATCAAAAATTAGCCGGGCGTGGTAGCGCGCACCTGTAGTTCCAGATACTTGGAAGGCTGAGGCGGAAGGATTGCCGGAGCCCAGCGGGTCGAGGCTGCGGTGGCCGGGTGCAGCCACTGCACTCCAGTCTGGGTGACCGAGTGAGACTCCAACTCAAAAACAAACAAACAAACAAACAAACAAAAACCCAAAACCAACAAAAAAACTAATTTAAAAAATGATTATCAATAGGGAATGGGAAGGAAAAGGATAGAAGGCACAAGGGTAAGTACAAGACTTCTCTGAGTATATCTTTTTATATAGCTTCCACTTTTAATAAAAGCTTTTATTTTAAAATAATTATAGATTTGCAGAAGAGTCATAAAGATAGTACATGAGTGTTTGCCCAGACCCTTCAATCAGCTTCCTTCCTGTTAACATCTCCCACAACCATGGCACATTCATCCAAACTAAAAAATTCACTTTGGGATAACATTAGCCAATAATGATATTGGTGGCAGGTGATATCAAATGACTTATCACTGCTGTTAACCATGATCACTGTAAGTTACTATTTTCCCCCTCCTGTCTTCTCTTTCTAAGAAGCAAGTCATGAGGTCCAGCCACACTCAATTAAGCTTTTGCCTTTTTTTTTTTTTTTTTTTGAGTTGAAGTCTCACTCTGTTGCCCAGACTGGAGTGCAGCTGCACGCTCCCAGCCGCCACAGCCTTGACCTGCTGGGCTCCAGTGATCCTTCTACCTCAGCCTTCCAAGTAGCCGGAACTCCAGCCTCGTGCTACCATGCCCTGCTAATTTTTGGTTTATTGTAGAGATGATGGCTCGTCAAGTGCCCGGGTGGGTCTCGAACCCACGGGCTCAAGCAATCTACTCACCTCGGCCTCCCAAAGCGCTGGGATTACAGACTGAGCCACCAAGTTCAGCTTTGCCTTCTGAAGGGAGAAGTAACAAAGAATTTGTGAACCTATGTTAAAACCACCACAGTCCTTAAGTACATAGTTTTGGGGAAATATTTTATGATGCAAAATACTATGCAAATACCTGTCCCTTCTTACAGTTTCACCTACTAATTTTAGCATTTATCTAAGGATCTTGACTACAACAATTATTATTGTGATGTTCTAACAGTGAGTTTCTATTTCCTTCACTCCTTCAATATTTATTATTTGGAATTCTCTTGTAAGATTTGTTCCTAGCCGGGCGCAGTGGCTCAGGACTATAATCCCAGTGCTTTGGGAGGCTGAGGCAAGAGGACTGCCAGGGCCCACGGGTTCCAGACCAGTCTGGGCAACTTGGTAAGACCTCGTCTCTACAATAAATCATAAAAATTAGTTGGGTGTGGTGGTGCACGCCTGTAGTTCCAGCTATTTGGAAGGCTGAGGCAGAAGGATCACTTGAGTCCAACAGGTCAAGGCTGCGGTGGCTGTGAGCGTGCCACTGCACTCCAGCCTGGGTGACAGAGTGAGATTCTGATTTGAGAAAAAAAAAAAGATTTGTTTCTTCTCTTCCATTTATTTATTTTAGTATAGACTTATGGGGATTTATTTTATTCCCTGGGTCATAGTCCAATAATACCATTATTTATTGTATTGCTCAAATTATTCCAAAGTGGCCACTGGGAGCTTTTTCCAAGTTGGCTCCTGAGTACTTTTACAACTTGGATTATCAAGTCACATAACTATTTAACACATTTATAGACTCAACTAAAAAAAAAAAAAAAAAAAAAAGCAAATCCCAAAACTCAAAATAAACCCATTATACACCAAATGGGCAACATAACCACACAGATTATTATTTCAAGTAATTTCTGGTCTTGTTACATACTTAGTAAGATATATTCTACAGACAGAGAACTGCAAAGAAATCTTAAACTTCACTAATGCACTGTTAGTGGTAGCATTAATATTGCAATTTTCAAACAATTTTTTGTGCACTGTGGGATAAAGCAAATATGTAAATGTTAATGATGTTAGGAACCAAGATTTTCACTGCACAGGAAACAAAAATATACATGCACAAAAATTAAATGTTTAAAAATTAAATGTTAATACTGTAACTGAAAATGTCAAAATAGATCATGGTTTCAAATATAAACATATATATCCCAATTCTGTCTGTTTCAAGCACCAAGAAGCAACGACACTCCTATAAAAAGGAACACGTCCATTAGGGCATGGATTGGGTGGATGGAGAGAGAGGCCCAGCACCGCCAGAGCCAGAGCCAGCATGTCGGAGGTGTGCACTGCCAACCCAGAGATCTGAGTAATGCAAAGAATTCAACACACAAAGAGGTGAAAGAAGATAAGATTTATTTAAGAAAAGTTCGCTCCCCACAGGCAGGGAACAGACCTACACTCTAGATGGGTGCAACCCTGTAGCCCCTAAATCCTTTCCCTTGGAGATGTTGCAATCAGGTAGATGTGACTGCTGTGACTTCCTAATTAACCACCTGCGGATGTCTTGGAGATCCTGTGACACAGAGACCCACTAATGTCTGCCCATATTATCACAGCACCTAGAGAAGGGTGTGACAAGGATTCTAATGCTCCTGCACCTTCCCGAAGGACATTCCTTAGAGATAATGGAGGGCGCACCTCTCCTTATCTCCTATGCATTCCCAGTAGGTAGCCTGGGGGGATCCTTGGCTTCCCTGTAGATAGTGCTCAATTTGCTGGAATGTTAAGTCCCGACCTGCTCCCCCTCTGAGCAGTCATAACTTTTGTAATTACAAGTTTTGTGACTTTTACAATCCTTGCCCAATGCATGATGTCTTGGGCCTTGTAAGTTCCCTTTACTCCAGGCAAGCTTGATTGCCACTGTGAGATACCTCTGGCATCAGGAAGTCAGTGCTTCTGAAAGAACACAGTCGACAAAGTTAATTTTACCTAAAGTATGCATTTCTCCAAACACATAGCTTCTACTTTCTCTTAATTGTGTCAGGGTTTAAGAACAAGATGAAAAATGACT